TTTTTCTTAAAGTGTGAATATCATAATTATCATCATCACCTTTTATTCTTTGTAAAGCACTTTGGCCAATGGTAATATAAAAAAAAAAAAGTCTTGTTTGATTAACTTCAATCAGTAATTATTTAAATGTGTCATTTAATAATGATTGCATTACTTCTACATAAAGGAATTAGCTTAATTTACACTTTGGATCAGTTTTTTTAAAGTTAGCTACCTGCGCCAGATGATTAAAGGTTCAAAAAATGAGTTTATTTTACAGAATAATTCATATTCGACAGAGGTGCACATGGTAATTAAGACGTTGTTTGTCACAGTTAATTTAGGAATTGAAATGACCAAGCATAAAAAAACAAGTAAAGCTATCATATTAATGTGATAAAAAATAAACATATTATATGCAATAAATGAGAAAATTCAACACAAATTGTAATAATGACAAATTAATTACAACTTTTTCTTGACAAATTTATGAAACAATCTCAAGAAAATAATTTACAGAACAAATCAATTCACTTTTCTTAACACAAAAAAAGACAAAAAACAAAACCGTGATTATGGGACTTTAAGTCCTCAGAGAGCTGTTGAAATGTTGAAAGTTTCCCCACTGGTCCCCTTCTGCCTTCACGTGTTAATCACAGTGGAGAGTTTCCTCCGGTGATGCGATGTCACCTCTGGATTTGTTTACAGCGCGCAAACACCAAGCACTGCAGATAAAACTCACCGACAAGTTTCTGTGTCCAAATCAATACCACATATATCTGAACACATCAGCTACACTGTTAAACAAACGGTAGACCGTTTTTTCCTTCTTTCCTTCTTTCTTTCCTTCTATCTTTCTTTCCCGCTCCTACACTTGCTCCCAATAAACGGCTGGGAAAAGTTGCGGTGACGTTCGCGCGCCGTCTCGTTTGGCGATCTTCCAGACGCCCGCCGTGCTGCGGCGCGTTCAGAAACCAACGCTTTTAAGGCTGTAGCTGGTACGTCGCAGTTGTAAATTGGAATTGCTCAGCCGTGAAGGCTTACGAAGATTATTTTGTTTATCAGACATCCTCCAATAATAATAATAATAATAATAATAATAATAATAAAATCCCTGATTTACATGTTATCAGTTAAAAACCTTCTGTTTAGTTGGAACACGTCCATGTAAAATTCATGCATGGTTCACAATGACTGAAGACGGGTTCTGCCAGGTTGCTATCAGTAGTCAGTATCTTACTAGCAGTGGGTAACTGCCTGCCTCATTTTAGACAAACAGATCAGTCTTTGTCAAGCTAACTACTAATTAAAGTGAACCAAATAACTTTAGTGTGAACAATAGCTGTGTTTATGCTTGTTTACAATTGAAATCAGAGATTTATAAATGAAAAGACACAACCATTTTTTTTCACATCATCATCATAAGTCCAACTTAAACAGTAGTTGGCTAAATTATTTGTGTTTGCCAAAGAGAGAATAATTGTTTTACTCTTTTTAAACTCAAAAGTTTAAATACATTGCCTTAGTGTTTGTTAGAATTACCTTCAAACTCTAACCTTTGATTTGAACATTTTGGGTATTTTTCCTGAGTTTAGTTGCTATAGTTTGCTGGATATTTGGCTCATTTCCACTGAGTATATATACGCACTCAAACATCTAAGCTTTGTTTTACACACTTATTTTTTCTAGACTTTAGTGAATAGAAATAGTTTTTGTTATTCCATCTAATAAAGCAGAAGGTTTAGTTGGATACAATGTCTCACAGTGAGAGGAAAACCAGTTAAATAAAACAACATGACTGGTCTTAACACATGTGACTGATATTTACTGTTGTTTTAGGTGACCTGCTTGGACAGAAATTGCACTTTGAAACATAATGCAACCGACAGTCTTCACCTAAATGTTGCAGCTTCAGCCGCCTTTCTGCTGTTACTCCGTTATGTGCGGATGTTGGCATTTTTCTCCCAACTGTTGTGTCGACCAGATTGCTGATTTTGTATTAGCGAGCCGTGTTCTGGTTATGCAGGTCTCACTTTTCTCCACATAAAGGTAATCAGTTGTGATGGTGTAGCTGCACTACAGTACCGTGGCTCTCAAAATGTCTTTTTTTTTCCTTTTTTTACGCAGAGAATAGAAATATGCTTTACTGCCTCACTGTGGGGAAATTCATCAGTTGATCTTTATAGAGAGAGTTTTCATTTCTTCTGATTAGAAATGTTTTATTTTTACTTTAAACGGTGCTGTAACAGTAAAACATCATCATCCATAGACAGTGATAACTTCCCGCTAAAATCAGTGCAATGCAAAAAATTGTTTTTTGCCGGAAAACGACTTAAGCGCTTTGAAATATAGTCAAAACGCAGATTTTGATGTATTTATGTCTGATTCTGATTATGTACAGTAAGTGCGTATAAATATCCACTTGTAAACTTCTATTTCATGACCTTTCCTGCAAATTCTATAGATGATAGTTTATCCTGACCTTTAGTCTTTGACATAACTTAAACTCCCAAATTTCCTGTGTGACCAGCAACATAATAAACCCACAAGCAACAGTGAATATTTCCACATAGGAGCGCAGTGACCAGGAGACTGAGTCAGCACTCCTGGTCACTGCTGACCTTTACATTTGAAATCATCTTGCAGCACACTGAAGCCCTGTGCTTTTGGCATGCTCTGTAATTCCCTTTACAACAAAGTCGGACGTCGCGAAAACGGGCAAAAATTAGAGATTTTCGGCACGCGCCCGCGTCGGATTTTTGGGGTCATGTTTTGTCCGCTCACCCCGGCGGTAAATACAGGAATGAACAGAAAACCAGCAGTGTTCAGCAGTGTGCCTAATGCAGGCAACACGAAACGCAGCCAACCATAGCCGTTGATACTGCTGCCGTTAGGGGATTTTAAGTTATTCTCTGACATTTTTGTGATAGTGTCTTGCTGCTGACTCTGGATGAATTTTTTTTTTTTCTCTCCCCTCCCCTACTTGTTAAATCAAACTCTCCCTCGATGCGCCGAGGCAGCCAAGACCTCCGCGTGTTTCCTCCAGGATGTGTCAAGTGAAAAGACAGGGGGTGAGCAAGGTGAGGGCAGGAGGCTGGGAGGGAAAAGAAGAAGAGGAAAAAAAAAAGGGAGGGAAGATGAGACAGGACGGTGCACAGGCCATTTAGCGGGAGCATGTTCATTAGCATGGAGCACGGGCCGTTTCGTCTCCTCCGGGGTGTGTGTGTGTGTGTGTGGAGGGGGGAGCTGTGCTATCCTGACATCCTTGATACAGTAAACAAACTGCGCCTTGTACGGGCCTCGACGCGCAACAGCCGTGCCCTCCTTGTTGAAGATGAATCCATTTTAGCGGGGGCGCTCGGCTGAAACGGAACTTTTCCTATTAATTACGCTCATCGTAGGAATCGATTCTGACAAGCCGAGCTACCGAATGAGGTGTTTTTCCTTTCTTTTCTTTTTTTATTATTATTTCTCAACTTTTTTTTCCTTTTTTTTTTCTTTTCCTCTAGGTTGAGATGTGACTGCCACATCTCAGACCCTTCAAGTCGACTTATTACGCCTTTTCGTCGCGTCGAGAAATTCTGCACCCTCAGCTCGTCTTTTATCAAAATCATTCAAGTTTGGAGCATGACTGGGGAGACTGATGGAAAATTGAGCTGCTCTCTCATGCAGCACAAAGAACAGTGCAGCCATTCCCCCTCGCCCATCACTCCTCAATCAGACCCAATGTGCACAGATATAGACTATTGATAAATGCCTCTGAACTATTCTGAGACTGGAAATTTAAGGGCTTCGGAGTTTCGCCTTGTATGTCGAGCGGCGCACGGATAAATCTGGCTAAGTGCCGGACAGCGATACTCGCTGACACCTGAGGCAGTCGAGTATTTCTCGGTTTTGGGGGCAGAGGAGGGACGGACGCCGGCCGCCAATTTATCTCCAGACGCGTGTCTCTTTCTCATGATTGAGCTCTATAACTTCCAGAAATGGCCCCTTAAATCACGCCGCATCTTACAGTGTGTGAATTCTCGCCGAAATTGCAGACAGTGTCTGCCGTTTCATGGTGGAATGACTGTCTTAATATTTTCAGCGTCGCTCGCTTGAGGAGACCCCAGGGGGGATGTCTGAAAGCAAAAGTAAAAAAAAAAAATAAAAAAAAAAAAGTTAAAAACTGGAGTTCGGCAGTATGACGCGACGACAGCTCCTTCTGTTTGTACGTTTCAGTCTGCCTAAGCAACAGAAATAATTGTACAATTAAAAATCATGTTGTTTTTTTTCATATAATTCTCCTTTAAGGATAAAAGATTTTTTTAAGAACTAAGGGATGAAAAGATGATTTTTTTTTATCAATTATGAACCGAAACCCACATGATTTCTCATAACAAGAACCCTTCATATTTATTTGTGAAATGTGGAGGAAAAAAAAAACAATACAGAATAAATTAATCAAGCAAAACATCGTACTGAATCAAACCTTAAACCTGAGTATTCAGCCAGGAAATACGTCCCATTAAAAACATTTTTAACACTCTTCTTTCTGTTACTTTGTGAGAAAACAGTTTTTACTGATAAGACAGAACTTTTCACAAATTTTGACCACTTGTTTGCACGATCTCTTTAGATCGCCCACAGTCTTGGGTTTATGTTGTTTTCTCCTCTGTTGGTTTTCTACAGGACAGATTTTCATGACCCAAGAAATATACTCAATATAAATGTCTTACGCGAGGTTACGCCCCTGCAGTAAGACATTATATAACTTAAAGGCTTTTCACACGTTTCTACCAGAGGTGCCAAGTGGTGTGAAAGCAGCTGTGTATGTTCAGAATATTCCTCCTCTCTTTAAAGTTTTCTGGTTTGCTCACTCTAACGTTGGCTTGGCACTCTGATGGCCAGAAAACCACGTGTGTGTGGGCTGCACTTTTACCACAGTTCTCAAGCTGAGATTGTATCAAACCACGATATTAACTTTTGGTTATTGTGTTTTTTTTTGTTGTTGTTTTTTTTTTTTACTTTGTTTTGCCAAGACTCCAGAGCCGGTGAGGGCGCGCCGCAGAAAATCGACCACGCCGTCATCGGTGGAGTGGTCGCCGTTGTGATGTTTGCCATCCTCTGCGCGCTCATTGTGCTCGGCCGGTACTTTGCTAGACACAAAGGTAAGCCAGCGCCGCCACGCTTGCTCGCGAACACATTGTTGAGAGTTTAAGTGCTTTATTTGAAAATGGAGTGCAGCAGAGTTGAAGAGAAAAGGTGGAGAGGCGGAGCGCGCCGGGCGCTAATTCGTTTGTCCCCCTTTTTTTTTTTCTTTTTTTTTTTTTTTTTTTTTTCCAGGAACTTACTTCCCGCATGAAGCCAAGGGGGCGGACGATGCGGCCGACGCCGACACAGCAATCATCAACGCAGAGGGGGGCCACAACAACACAGACGAGAAGAAGGAGTACTACATCTAAACCAGACGGGCCTGAAGTGATGGTTGGGGACGCGGTGGGAGCACTGCGTCCAGCGTTGACTGGGTAGTAGGACGGCTTGGGTTAGGGTAAAAGAAGAAGGGGAGAGGAGGAGGGAAGTAGGAATGGCGTAGCCGCGTGGGAAGAAGAGGCGTCGTTTAGTCTCCTGTCCGACCCTTCCTTGGACTGCCGGGTCCTATTCTGTACAGTATAATTATTTTACAGACAATTTTGTGCCTTGTTCTATTTCTTTTGTCGGTTCGTTGGTTTCTATTCACATGCTTGTTGGATTGGATTCTTTCTCCACGTGCTCTACTTGATCCTTTGTTGCGTTTGGCTTTCAGAGGAGATAGAAAGGGGTCTGGTGTTTGTCAATGTGTGCTACAACTAGCTTTTAGCTCATGTAACCAGATATACGAGAGGCCAGCTCACTCACACTTTAGTTCACTTTTTTTTTTTTCCTCTTTCTCTCCAGTTGCTTATTAAATGAAACCCAGTATCGACATGTTTCTCCCCACTGGGTCAAAGTCCTGTGGTGCCTCCCAAGTTCATCACATTTAGATGCAGGTCTGATTGGTTTTGACGATTACCTGCACACACACACACACACACGCACACCCACCCACATACACACACACACACACAACCCCCCTTCAAATTCAGACTCATTGTTGATTACTTGCGTAACCGTTTTGAGTACTCATGCCTTTCTTTGAATGTATTTGCTAAAGGAGTAAGTAAGAGTCACATGCATGTGTATATGGGGTTTAAAATCTAGTTGTGAGATGCAACCGATTCCTCAAAAGCTCCCAGATCCAGACACAAACGCAGAACTTTATTTTGAACCACATTCCTAAAAAGTCTTGAGCAGCTACCGTTTCTGAAACGTCTTACTATATTCATCAGATTTATTCGATAAACTCTCCAATGTCAGTGGTACCTAATTCCATCCATATCTGCAATCGATGCCATGTTGTTTCTACAAAGGGATGTTTAAATATATATATATTTTTTTTCTTCTTTTGTCCCCAGGGTTAATCAAGATGAAGTATTTGCCAATACAGAGTTTTGATCTAATACTTGCATTTCTTTACAGCCAGATTTGAGTTGCACACTGCCTATCTCTAGTAAAATAAAGTTCAAATGCATGCCGTGTATGTAACGTACATCTCAGTAGGTCTACAGAAGTTTGAAGTGCTTAAGTTGACCAACTATCTTTCTCCCATATCGCCCATGCCATGAGGACCAGCGACTGCACAAAGTAAAATCCTAATTAAATAAGGCTAAGTTTTCTTATTCAGCTCAGGTCAGGAGGGGTGGATGTACCACGAAAAAACGGAATAAAAACCTTTATTTTCCACCACATCAGTGGGCTGGTCACCCAGAGTGGTAAATTGAATCGCTGTGCAGTTGTTTCTGCCTCATCGCTGTCACTTTGAATCTTTTCTACTTGTAGTTTCCTGTTGGAGTTAGCATCATCTCGAGAAATACTTGAACTGCCAAGTTTGGGGGATACAGCTGATCAATTTTTGTTTTCCGCTAAAAGATAGCTGCTGACTGCAAACCTTTCTTCACAACATTTAATCCTGGCCTGTATAGTAAGGCGAGAACATGAACAGCTGAGAGCAACTCTGACTTAATGGTTAAAAACCATAATCAGAATCCCAGACCAACGCTTGGGATCGGATCGGCGGTGTCCCTCGATTTTGAGAAAGTAATCATCTGAATCTGTGTTTTCATCTGTTGAACCTTTCATCTCCTGCTTTATGAGTCAGTTGTTGGTTGTTTTTCTTTGTTGTAAAATTGTCGGTTTCATTTGAAAAGTTAGTCTTTATCCTCTTACCGTACCCAACTTTATTTAATATTAATCCTGGAGTCTGTCAGGTTTAGTTTACAGAGGCATTTGCCAGCTGTATTAATACCACAGCAGACTGCATCTTCTCAAATACATTTCTGGAAGATAGTTATCTTCTAAGCGACACTAATGTGCCATGACAGTGAGGCAAAGGTTGTTCAGTTTCTTTCATTTTCGTGTTTTTGTCTGATATTGACAAAGAAATGTGTATGAAGCAACAGATAGTGAAAGGTTAAGATTTCTGGAAAGACACTTTTCTGTAAGAGACTGACACTGTAATATTTAGTAGTATCAAATATGTATATATTAGACCTTAAATACATTAGCAAAATTATTCTAATTAGCTGTAACAAGTAGCTACCTATTTAAGTAGCAAATTAGGATATGTATCTAAATTAGCTAAGCAGAAAACTCAGTAAATCAGCTAGCTAATTTAAGTACATATATTCGAGCTAATTTAGTTAAAAAGGCAAAGGAGCTGTTTAGCTAAATTAGCTACACAACCTGAATACCTGATTAGCTAATAATAATAAATAATAACAATAAAATAATAATAGTAACACAGTTTGGTAGTTTTCTAAATCATCACTTTAGCTAATTAAACTTAACTAGCTAAAGTGATTTATGTTTGACCTATTGAGCAGATTATTTTAATAAAATTAGCTTAGCAGCTAATTTTGCCATCAACGTAGCTAACTAAAGTAAATAAGCTGCTTAACTATCCATCCACATTGCCTATAGGCTACACGCTAACACCAGATGTGTTAGCTAACTCGCCTACACTCTTAAACATCATTTATTTTGTTGGCTTATAAAGTCCGACTTCACCCAAGTATTGCGTCATGCTAAAACAGACAGCTAGCAGTTCTTTGCTAGCTTAAAATATCTCCCATTTTCATATTTCCATTCCATGCCGACGAATGGCACCAAATATTATGAGTCTTTGTGCATATTCCATAAAGAAAGTTGGAAAGTCTTCTCTACAAAATGTCCCTCCTTATCTGCTGGAAGAAAACAATACTGATGTCACTCTTTCAGTTAAATAAAAACACAAAAACTACATTTAGCTTTGAAGTCCTTGCCGAGCCATTTTTGTTTCTTATGCTGTTGTTGTGCTTGTTGGTTTCCGATTTATAAGACCTTTCAGTCACTGCAAGTATGAGTCCATTAAATTTTCCTCTGTGCAAATACTTTATCTTTGGGCTTTCTTTGATAACTTCTAAGGCCAAAAGATTTCACTTGGGGAAGCTCCTATTTTAGTTTTTTGTTTTTGTTTAGTTTTTTTCTGTCATCTTGTAGCCTCAAACCGCAGAGAAATGGCATAGTGCTACAATTTATCTCTCCTTTTCATTAACCCCAATCAAACAGTGTGAACTTTACACATTCTACGCCTCTTCGACTCACAGCTAGAAGAGCAAAACTTGTTTGGCAATTAGCAGGACACTTTATTGTATTGCCTGAAGAAGAAGAAGATGAGTAAGGAAAAAATAAAAAAAAGACCAGATAAAAACAAATAACCACTGCCTTAAACAGACCTCTTGATACGTGCGATAATAAAATAAAAAAATGAATAAAGAATAAAGTGAAGGACATATTGTAGTGCCTTCTTCTGATCTCCAGGCATATGGTTAGAATCATACTCTTAGCTTGTACATATATCTGTCCTTTCTAACTTTCAGGCCAATACTCAGCCAAGTTCTCTGTTCATGCACTATAAAGTCACATCCTGGTTTTTGGATCTAAATGATAAATAAATCAAATTCATTCATTTTGAAAATAAAATATGTTGAGATCATTTTTGGTGATTTTTTTTTTTTGTGCAGTGGGGCCAGTATTTATAAGAGCAAAATTCAATTTGGCCTTAAGTATTTGTTGGTCGCCTTTACTGTGTTTGCTATTTATTTGAATATTTCCTGGGTGAAGGCTAAGCAGCTTTCAGAGAGGAATCCAGTGCTAAAGGCTAGATAATAAGCTAGAATAAAAACAAATTAATATATCTCTCTCTCTTTTTGTTGTTGTTTCTAGATTGTGGAGGTGCGGTGTCATGGAAACAGCTATGCGCATGACAAATGTTATTCTGGGCTTTGATATTTATCTTAAATGGTAACTGTCGCTTTTGATGGATTAACTTTGAGAAAGGCTGTGGTGGGGGGAGGGGGGGATCATTTTATTCCAATTTTTCATTTATGTTTCTTACATGATGTGTAGTATATATATTTTTTCCTTCACTCTCTCAGGTTCATGAGTGTTATTATAGTTGTGTTTTTATTTTTTTGCATCTCAGGTAGATTGCAAATTTTAAGCCCCGAGTATATATATAGGTACATATATATATATGCTGTAGTACCACAGGTATCGGAAGACGTAACGAAAATCACAAGATGTACATGTTCCTCTCAGTTGTACATGTTTCTGTGTTTAATATGGTGCACTGTTACGGTAAATGTTAAATATTATTTTGCATAGGCCTAGTTCACAAAGAAAACTAGATTTGTTAAGCAGCTGAAAACGATGTACAGTCGGTGTTAACGAAGTCACGACGATGTTCTCGACACTTCTTCTTCTTCCACCGTTGCGTTCTGCTCATGCGGTGCGGGTCAGTTAGTAACCCTAGGATATTCTCACAGCCCTCAAGCATCTGTTTTGCATCATGCATCGCTTTTCTTATTTAGAAGATATGGTGTATTTACTGTGACATGAAGTTTTATGAATGATCTGTAACCTCTTGGATATTTGGACGAAACTCATGTTTTTAAAGCCTGGGGAGGGAGGAAGAGACCTGTGGGGGAGATGATGGTTTTTAAACCCCTAGATTGGTTGTTTAGGTTGTTGAATCTTGAATTTAATTTTTTTAATATTTTTTTTTGTTCCCAAGTGATGTTTTGTTTTCTTGTTTCTTTTTTTTGTTTTTTGTTTTTGTGTGTGTGTGTGTGTAGTAAAGAGGATGTTTTTTTGTTTTTTGTTTTCATTTGACCATACATATTTTGTATTGGTTCATGCCAACATTTTTACAAAAGAAAAAAAAAATCTGAAGAGTACTTGTCTTAATAAAAAGATATCAATGTTTAAAACGGTGTGCAGCTGTCGTTTGTTTAAAATAACGCTTCCACTCGTGATCACTTTAGAGGTTAGGAGTCAAATTGCACTAAAGTTTGTGTTAAAATGGCTGAATTCTAGAAACGGGTGTAGATCTTCACATTCTTAACGTCGCTTTAATTTCCATATTCTAGTTAGGACCAAAACGTTCAGAAAGATTTGTTCAATTTTAGTAAAGCCAAAGCGATGTTGGCTGTTCAACAACATAATAATGTAGATTATTTTATTTACAAACCCAAACATTAGCTGTATAAATTATGGTTTTTCTGCAAATAACTGATCTAATAATTTTAATTTCAATTCACTGGTTTATTTATACAGCTCCAATTCACAACAAATCTTGTCTCGAGTCACTTTACAAAAAACAAAAAAAATACATTTTAGTTTAATATCTCATACATTCCCCTGGTTATAACAGCACAGCATGCTCAGTTAATTACTCGACATGGTTTTAAAAAATGTAGAACGTTGATGACTTTACAGCAATCCCTCAAATCGGGGACGCATGAGGAAGACCTCCCCTTTAACAGGAAGAAACGTATTCCACCTCAAATCTTTTATATTATCAAACAACTTTTTAATATCAAAGACAATATGAATAAATCTGTTTTTTAAAGCTGCTTTTAAATGCTTTAAATTCCTAAGTGAAAACAAAACCTTTCCAAACCAAGCGTGGCCTTGTGATATTTGCTAAATTATGAATTAACTCCTCAGTTTAGTCAGCTCAGTTAAATTTTTTTAATGCCATACAGGCCTGGTTGCTGCCAAACTTGTAGAATTAAATTAAAAAGAAAAAATCCCTCGATCTGTAACAATTTAAGCAAGCGTTTAGGCACCTTCGAATGGTTGCCGTGGGAGACTCAGGGGTTCCTCAGACATGCATGAATGAATCAAAGCAACACTTTGTGATGATGGAATCACATTATAACATGATGTAAAGCACGAAACGTCTCGCTTAAGTAACATCTCCCCCTAAACATTGACATAAAAATATAAGTAGAAGAACTCTGTTAGGAATCTAATACATGATAATAATTGTAATGCTCTAATCCTCAGTGTTGCACTGGCTTAACCAACTTCTGGATCCTGTGATCATTCAGATTTCCTCTGCCTGTTTAGGTTTTGCTTCAAAATCAACATTTCTGATGTCGCCTCCCGACAGCTTGGCTTCACGTTGCCGTCTTGTAATTGTTACAGGTTGATCACCCTGGAGCTGGTCAGTGGCTGAGTTTTTGTGATTTTCATCTTTTTTGTAAATCCTGGTTTTGGTTTCTAAGCATTCGAGATATTTTTAGCTGAGCAGACTATCATTTTATATATATATATATATATATATATATATATATATATATATATATATATATATATATATATAATTTTCACCTCCAATCAACTTCCTTTCAACCTTGTTTTCCCAAATATCTGGATTGAAATCGGTTTCCTCTGCTTTTCATCGCTTTAATAAAACAACCACCATCTTGAACAGGTTTTGCATTTGGCCGCCTTTTTGCCACCCGCTTCTCTTTCTTTGAACTTCCACGGCATTATTTTAAACGCAAACCCTTGAATTAACGACTCAGCCGTGCGGACGCCGTGACTCTTGGTTTCCTCTCACTCCGCTGCGCTCGCCGCTAAATTATTCACCATTCGAGAGCGAAGAACTTGAGCGGGACTCGGTAACGAAGAGTCTCGAACCATGTCTGAGTCTTTCTCAGGGCGGGAGCAGGTGGAACGTTTGGCCTCGTATTTGTTGTCAAATTCACTTTGCTTGTTTAACAAGGTAAAAAAAAAAAAAGCATTAGGTTGGATTGAACATTTTCACTTCATTCTGCCCTCCTGGTGCTTGTCAAATTTACAACAAAAAAAAAAGAAAGAAAAAGAGGGAGAGAGAGCTTTTGACATGCAGGAAAAATATTGTACCGCTGTCGATTGGATGTTGGTGAATGGCAGCGGCGGCAGCAATCTGGGCTCCCATCGGTGACTGACAAGCTCGTTGTGGCGCAGATAGAGGCGAGAAACGTTTTAAACGACATGATGACTGACACCGACAGGCTCAGGGGCCCTGTTAAAATTTCCAGCTGAACACTGGATGCCGGTGATTTGACAAATTGATAGGCGTTTTGGGGAACAAGACCTAATTCATAACCATAAGCTATTCTGTCATCATAATTCTGTCAGTACCGCCATTTCCCATTACTTTTAAGTGATCCGTTCCAGGTAAAGGTCAATAACATTATTCAAACTTTAATGGGAGTAGTCTAACCTTCAAAAACCAGCCACTTTTCTCTCTTATTCACACAATCATTTGACTGTAATGCTTCTCTCGAGGAGCATTAAATAGCTGCACAAAGACCGAGTCCCTTTGTGAATTGTGATGACTTCAGATTTGTATCTTTTTTTTTTTTTTTTAGTTTAACACAAAGTTACATGCAGCCCTGGTTAAGATGTGCTGAATGCCTTAGAATAAATTAATCTTTTTTGGGACATTAGGATCGTCTACCACTGGAAAAAAATGTATTTATCCGTCCTTTTATTGGTGGAAAACCTAAACAATAAAGTAAGAGGTTTAAAACATTTTTCTTCAAAGTATTGAAACCTCAGACTATTTCTATAAAATAAATTCAACTGAACCATTTTGTAATTTAAACTTATTCGGCGTTTAAACTTTTAGAGATATTTTTTTTCATTCGTGAACGTTGTTAGAACAAATAAATGTAAATGAAACTCGACGTCGGTGTAGAGAGCTGCTACGGCATGAAATGTGACGACGCAGAGACAATCAAAACAGTCAAAGAAACTAGCGTCGCTCTCCACACGTATAAAAACATAGTTATCTATATTTATTTTAAAAAAATAAATGTATCTTTTGCTGCAGAAGCTTAATCTATATACAAAAAAAAATGTAGAACAATCTAACTTTTTGAGACATTTATTCTTTGGGACAGAGACCATCAGCGGCTAAAATAATTTGTAAACATGTCAACGTCGTTCTCATCAATTCTGCTTTTAAGGTTTCTCCTGAAATGAAATTCACACTTGATTTCAGTAAAATGTAAAACAACCCAGACAAGCCAAGTGCTTAAATTAGATTATGTGTAATAAGGTGGCATTGTGGAGAAAATAACTGTTCTGTTTTTAATGTAGTACAAATTGAAATAATCCACTCAAACACAAAAGCCAACTCTGCTGCTGAAGGGGAAAAAAAAATATGTTGAACTTTGTTTAAAGTCGGCACCAGCAGAACCCTGGAGGCGGGAACGTTACGGTCCGAACTGTTTCTTATTACAGGAAGTGATGCGTGGAGAGATGGACCAGGAAGTTCCTGATGGGAACCTGAAGACAAAACAAGAGCAGACGTCCAAGAAAGATTGTAGTCCAAGACACAGAGCCAAGGAAACACAGAGTACAGGACTCCAGGAACCCTTGAGGTTTGAAAACTGTTTGTGTGGGGGAAGAAAAAGGTG